CTTGCCAAATGTCTGAAAGCAGTTTGGGAGGAAATTAAGCCAAATTTTTTATTTTAGCAAATCCGCTGAAAATAAATGTAACCTATTAATTGTGCTGTGTTTTTGCTGTGTCTTGGCATTTCCATAAATAGAAGGTTAAAATAATGGGCAGTACATGAAGTAAATAAAGCGTAATTATCCCAGTTTAAAATTCCGCCGGGGGCATGCCTGTGCCTGGCTGCAGTGTTGACCTCATTGCCATCTGACTGCCATCAATAGCTCTTTCTCCTTAATCCGTTTCCTCTAAAAGCTGTACTAACACATTTACAATGTTTGTAGTCCTTTTCCCCTGTCATAATTGATGTAGTTTAGCACTGTTGAAGTTTTCATGAGATATAATCTATTTGGCTGTTCTAGGCATTAGGACCTTCTTTGTGTGGGACTTGGGGTAGTATTGGGTGAGCCCGAGGAATTGCCCACTGCCTGTGCGTGGCCTCGTGGTGGTCACCTCTCCATTTGCCAAATGTTATCCGTATGAGAATCACACTCAACAGATAATTTTTGGAGAACCTGTCACAGTCTTACGCTCTCATTCACAGCTGAGTCTTGAAAGGCAGATTTTAAGGAGATAATTTTAAGATCTTTCTCTCTCTCTCTTGTCTACAGAAGAAAAAAAGTGGGCTTATTAATGTTCCCTCCATCTCGAATTGTATGGATATAGCTATTTCCCTTCTTGGGTTTTATCTCCTCTGCCACACCACCAACTCCTCCAAGTGAGAGATCGTGGCTCCCGTTTATGGCTCATCCTTTTAAAGGACTTAAAATCAGGGTGAGTGCACGGTGACCCACTGGCCTGGGGGACAGGTTGGGCCTCCTGGGTAGGAGGAGGGCACTGTGATTCTTCTGAGAAGGTCACTCCCTACCCAGGATGAGAAGCCCTCAGCTTTTTTAACGTAGTTGTTAGCTAAAGGGATTAACCCAAAGGAAGGGATTTTAAGGCCATGTCCTTGGTTTTGTTGTTTTTGATAAGAAAATTGAATTGGGCATTCTGTAAATTCACTACCTTATATAAGAAAGTACAGGTTAAATTGATCCTGCCACTTGAATCCTTCTATGGTTATTTGATTATTTTCAAAATACCTTGACATTTGAAAGGCATATAGACAAAAGCCAATCAATGTAAATAGTTACATTTCTAGGGGGAAAAAAAAAGACAGACATCAGCCCTTTTTTTTTTTTACTTCACCATTTTTAACCGCTTGGATTCAGAGCCGGATTTTGTCTCACCTAAATAGAACAGCTACTATTCAAATGTAATGTGCAATTTTGTCATTAACCAGACCATCCCAGAAAATCTGAATAACCTTTGTAACTTTTAGTGACAAATTTAACGGCATTATACTCTAAACAGAATTGATTTCATTTGTTAATTTCTTCTAGTTAGTCTAGAAGAAATAAGTGTGATAAAGCACATTTAGCAGTGCTTTAAATGAGAGAGGTCTTAACCAGACACCCAGCTACAAAAGTAACTCATGTCTGTTTCCCACAACATTTAACATTAATCAAACTTACTTGGTTAATACTGAGGTTATCTGACTATTGTTCCTTAAAGTATTATTGATTAATTGATATGTATCATATGCAAATACATGCGGCCTTCCCTCCTACCTAAAAGATAACCCAAAGTAAAATAGAATATATTCACTACGTCCTACATACGAAACCAGATTGTTCTAATGTACAAAGGAAATTATGTTTTGTATATTATACAGATGTACAGGTGTTTTCCTGGGAACCTGACAGTTTCTTTAAAGAGCTCATTCTTTGCTGTTGTTTCCTTATTATAAAAGCCAACAAGTCAGTGCCATTTCTGAAATGGCAGTCACTATTTTAGGATCTTGCAGCAGTGACTCAGCACAGAGGTAGATCAAAAATTATAAAATTGAGTTTAAAACTGTATACTTATGTCGTCCCGCTAAAGGTCAGTTTAGCAAATCATACCAGCAGCCATGAGTATTTTTATATCCTTTCACCTGATAACCTCATTCCTTAAAATTACAGGCAGTTAATTTTTTTAAAAGCTGTATGTGTATATATGATTATCCAACTGTTGTTTCTAAAAATTGAATATTAGAGACAGCCAAAATCAGCAAATGAGCAATGAAGAGTCAGAGTTTGAAAAAATGGGATACTAATAGTCAGTGGACTCTGGATTGAAGGTATAAAGACCAGAAGTATACAGGGGTAGTTATAAACTGTCAAGTGACAAAAGAACACAAAATTGTATGTGCACTGTGATTACAACTGTATATAAAATTTTAAATGAAACACTGTGGTGTTAGAGTAGAAATACAGTTTTTTTTTTTTTTTTTTTTTAGTGTTTTGGTTTTGGTTTTGGTTTTGGTTTTTAAGGTAGGGGCTCCACACCTGGTGCGGAGCCCAGTGCGGGGCTCGAACTCATGGCTCTGAGGTCATGACCTGAGCTGAGATCAGAAGTCAGACACTTAACCAACTCAGCCACCCAGGTGCCCCTGATTTAGCTTTTTTTAATATTGTTACAGAGTTGCTTAATAATTTCTTAACATGTTTCTGTCATAGAGCACTCACTGCAAGGGATCAGTCAACATTTGCATGTCACATCAGCAAAAATAAGGTGCCTTGTGGCATGACAGTGCCATTTAACAAGTGACCACATCGACTTCTGGGCATCCTGAAAGGAACAATGGCATTTTCTAACCGTGTTTCCCAACTCCCGGAAAGTCATTTACACACTGGGAGATCCGTGCTGCAGTGTCCCGTCTGTCCAGTTTAAACCCTCCAGGAAGAAGATGGTATTTGCCAGGGCATAAGCTGATGTTTGACCTCCTGAGCTCCAACTTTTTTTTTTTTTTTTTTTTTAGATTTTTATTTATTTATTGACAGAGAGAGAGACACACACACACAGCGAGAGAGGGAACACAAGCAGGGGGAGTGGGAGAGGGAGAAGCAGGCTTCCTGCCTAGCGGGGAACCCGACTGACCTCCGACTTTTAAGAAGGTGCCGGAGGGTGCCTCGTGCTTCTGTGGGCCTCGGGTTCTCTGTGTGGTCATGGGGACAGCCCCCTTCTTCAGAACGCCCGAATCCGCGGTCACTCGATCACAGGTTAAAGAACAGCTTGGCGTTCGCACCCCATTTTAAAACTGATTTAACGAGTACTCTTCTTGACCTTCTAAAAAGGAGGGAAGGCCCAAACAGGTAAAATACTTGCTCTTCTTCATGTATACCAGTAAATTATTTTGAAATACTGCGGTCTCCAGAAACATGCTTACCATGTCGTCTCTATCCCATTCTTGATGTGTTTTGGATGGCATGTTATTGCCAGCCCTTTCAGAGACTGGCTCTGGCTACTAACAGTCACTGCCCATCAGCGCAGACTATTGAGTAATTGCTGTATGAAGGCACCATCTGGGCATCTCAGTGTTTGAAAAAGTAGATCTGTTTATTGATTCTAAAGAGCTTACAGTCTAGTTGAAAACAGAACAACTAGAGAATGTTCTCAAGGCTCAAGAAGAACAGGTCACATCACAAGCCTTTGCCCGAACCGAGAGCTGGGTGATCTTGAACAAATGAGCCGCAGAGTCAGATTAGCTAAGCAGATGGCACCGGGTGTCCCAGGCGGAGTGTGCACGCATGTCAGGGAAAGTTAAGTACCAGGTGCTAATTTAAAGCAGATGAGTTTGGTAATGTGACGAGAATAAAGAGCGGTTGTAGATTTTTGGTAAGTGTTTAATGGAATAAAAATTGTGACTAAGCAATGGGCTGATTGATTAATGTGGCCAGGAGGCTGAAAACAGGAGCCCAGTCAGGAGAACTGGGTCAGGCCCGCCTAGCTAGGGCACCTGCTGGGAGAATGGGAAGACACGGCGAAGTCCCATCTTTTGCAGAGAAGGAATCTGCTCAGTTTCATAAAGTATTGAATGTGGGATAAGCCGGAAGTAGGGTAACTCAGGGGTAGAGCCAAAAGGAAGTTTAAGCCTCCAGAAACTGTCGTTATGGTGGTGTGGATGACACACTGGGGACAGGGTACCTATAATGACTTCAGGGGAGGGATTCTGAGCTGCCTGTCTCAGTGTGTTGTAAAAATATCCAGTATCAGTAGGATGTTTAAGCAGAGGATTCAGATTTAGAATTCGGGAGCAGTTGGGGCCAGAGATTAGATTTGTCAGTCTTCTGTGCTTTGGGCGAGTTAATATGCAGAAGGAGCAAGCTGAAAGTCGAGGGGAGGATTAAGGTAATGGTGGCAAGGCGCAGGGACAGCAAGAGAACCGTAGGACCAGAGTGTGGCCTCAGGTACCCTTCACTGCTGAGCAGACAAGCAGAGGCGACGCCCGGTGTCCTCCTGAGGGGATGTTGTGGCACAGCGGGGAGGGCAGAACCCGCACTGGAGGAAGGGGGAGAGCTTGGGGGGAGAGGCTTACTGGAGCAGTTGAGAAAAAGGGGACAGGCGTAGCCAATGCCGGGGAAAGAGGGAAGATGATTGAGGTGAGGACTTTTCTCCGTTTGGGGCAAGGCTGCGTGGTTGGCCGTGAAGGAGGGGCGGCCCCAGCCCCCAGGCAAGTGACCCGTGGGAGGAGAGCGGCTCCTCGGAGAGCAAGGCCGCCCGGAGGCCCCCACGCCCCCACCCGCCTGCAGCCTCTGCTAGGGCAACAACCAGGAAGAGCAGTCCTGAGCACTCGTGCGACAAAGGACATTGGGCTTGAGCGGGCTTGCGAGGACCCGGAGGGAGAATCGAGGCCGTTTCTGGGCCAGTTGCTTCTTATCAATTACGCTGTCTCTAGGCTTCAAAGGTTGGACACGTGGAAAGTACTGATCTCTCAGAGTTAAATTTTACCCCAGAGTCTACTTGAATTTAACTTCTGCACAGTGTTTGTACATGGGGTTGTATCCAGTGTCCCGTGAACCCAGTTTGACCAGAAGCTATTATTTAAAGTTTGTTTATGTGGTCCCTAATGCATATAAATAGCATTAGGATCAACCCTGCCTTAAAACCCCCTCTTCACTCCTCGGTGGCTTTGTGGTTTATATCCTTTAGCTAAGGCATACTAGTAATAATACCAGTAGCCCAGAGCTGTGTGGCTCTTCTCAGTTTCTAAAGAGCTTTGATTATCGCCTCCACATCTGGACCTCGGGCAGGTGAGGAGCCCATGATGTGGTCCAGCTCCTGAGCGGCAGAGCCGTCTTTCAGACCCAGGCCCTGTGGCTCTCCAGCTGCACCTCACTGCCGCCTCTGTGGATATAAAAACGAGAGAGGGAGAGCAGGAGCTCACCGTGGTGACCCCCAGTCCAGTAATGGAGGTCGCAAAGGCCATTCTTCTATGCATACATGACCGGAAGCATTTAAATGAATACTGCATAAAGAAGTCAAAGATCACTAGGGACATACTGGAGAGGAAAATGCTTCATGGAGGAAGGCGCTTGCAGTGTACCTTGAAGATAGGGTAGGAATTAGCAAGGCGGAAACAGGGAGAGAGTTGACGGGCTGAGGCAGGTGTAAGCAGGAAGCCGTGTCGCCAGTAGTGGTCAGAAAGGAGGCTGCCAGAGAAAGAGCCAAAGGGGTGTGGTGAGGACAGGTGACTGAGGACCCTGACAGTCAGGGAGCAGGCTTAGGTCCGCATACAGGAGAGAGAGCTAGAGAAAGACTTGCAGGAAGCTAGGCAGGCACCTGAGTGGTAAGCTTGTCACTGATTCCCAGGAAGATTCTTTTTTTTTTTTTTTTTAAGATTTTATTTATTCATTCGAGACACAGAGATACAGAGAGAGAGAGAGCATGAGCAGGCAGAGGGAGAGGGAGAGAGAGAAGCAGGCTCCCCGCTGAGCCAGGAGCCAGACATGGGGCTCGATCCCAGGACCCTGAGATCATGACCTGAGCCGAAGGCAGATGCTTAACCATCTGAGCCACCCAGGCGCCCCCCCCCCACCGGAAGATTCTAATAGGGATTATTAGGGAGTAGAAACTATGGAACGATCACAAGATGCCCATGTGACTTCCCTGAGAAAAAAGCATGCAAAATGAAACCCATTTATTTTCTACACAACATTCTTGGAGGGATAGATCTGCAGGGGGAGGGGCAGACAACAGAAAAATCCTTACCTTTATATAGTTCTTTTCTGCTAAGAGTACATTCTGAATTTCAGCTCAGCATTTGATAAGCTTTTGAAATTCCATGAGCAAAATGGACAAATAGAGACCGGACAGGGGTAGGGCGACTGGGTGGCTTGGATGGTTAAGCGTCTGCCTTCGACTCAGGTCATGATCCCGGGGTCCTGGGATTGGTCTCCTTGCTCAGTGGGGAGTCTGCTTTGCTTCTCTCTGTCTCTTTCTCTTTCTCTCTCTCTCTCTCTGGCAAATAAGTAAAATAAAATCTTTAGAGACTGGACAGGGGTAGAGTTGGGTGGCTTTTAGCTGGCAGGAGGACCTCACTCAAAGGGCATGGATTAAAGATTTGTTCCAGTCAGAGGAAAGTCTCTTAAGGCATGCCGCAGGATTCTGTCTATGTGAGGGAACTGAATGAAGACATAAAAGGCTTGTTTATCAAGTTTGTGGGTAACACAAACTTTGGAAGAACATTTAAGTTCCTGAATGATAAAATCAGAATTGAAAAAGATCTCAATAAGACAGAAGCATGAGCCAAGTTAACCGTATAACATTTAGTAAGAATCATTTTAGTTTTAGCATGTTTAAAAAAAATCAATTAATGGAAGAACATATTAAAAGACCTTGGATAGGAAAGGCTCTGGGGGAGACAGTTATGAGGGTGAGCGGTCAGTGTCAGATGGCTGTCTCAAGGACAGAGTAAGAAAACAGTATTTAGAATGAGGGAGGTAATAGTCTTGTTTTATCATATTTTGATCATGTTCACTTTATCATGGGAGGGAGCAGTTTTACTTTCGATGTGAAGGGTGGTGGTTAATGAATCTGGGGATGTTCAACATGGAGGAGAAACACCTCAAGGTTCATGACAACAACTAGCTTCCAATATGCAGAGGGTTGCCATTTTGAAGACCCCACCCCCACCAACAGGTAGATTTATCCTGCACTCATCAGTGGACATGCAGGGAATTCTGGGGTAGGCGGATTCAGACTCAGGGAGCAGGTCATCAATGGAGGATTAAACAGAGGTTTGATGAGTAGTTGTCAGGGATTCTGGAGAAGAGAGTTTTAATTTGGGTCTAAGGTTGTACTCCCATGGTGTCTAGTGTATATCATCCAGCCGTGTGCTGGAGCTGGCTTGTACCAGCTTGCAGGAGCTGACTGTTAAATAATCAGGAATGTTGCAAGCTAGTAGTAAAACTGTTGGCAGCCTGAAATCGGCCATGGGGGCAGCATTTATACCACAGGAGTCCCCAAATGTTAAGGATCTGTCCCACCCCCACCCTCTCCCAGCATCAGTGTACCCGCTCCCCACCCCACTGATATTGTCCAGAATAAAGAGTGTCTGTTAGAAGCCGTGATCCTCCGGAATGTGAAAGAGCAGACTGGGGAAGGGAATGTTCATGTTTATGTCCTTTGGACTTTCCAGATTCTGTTTCTCTTCATTGTATGCAGTTCCCCTTGTTTGTTCGCAAACCGTTTCCTATCTCCTGCCGAGATCTAGGGCCTGTGAGTTTCTCTGTCACCAGATCTGCCAGGGAAACTCGAATATCTTCCATTTCTTAGAATAATTCTTTCCTTGTTATGTATCTAGACTGGCCAGCACTATGCAAGCTGCGGTTCCCACCCCATTCTCAGCCACTAGCCGAAAGGACTATGAATCACAAATGAATTCAACCATTGAAATAGGATTTGGAAACACCTGCGCTGTCGAGAACACGTGACTACAGGTGCAAGGTCCAACTCGTGGCTATAACAAAGCCCTGCAAGCCATATGGCAGTAACTGTCCAGATGTTTGGGCTGTGTGGGTTGACCTCAGGTCAGCCCCTGTCCCCCTGCCTTACAACAGAGAGCAAATAGTGATTTTAATTCTATTGTTTATTTCTCATTTCTTTTTAAAGAAAGGATTTGAATAAAGTCTGAGTCATGATATGGAAGGGAAAAGCAAATGCCCTGTGGTAGACATGATAGGCAAATTCATTTGTGGTCATGCAAATTCTATTTGAGCCTATTCTGGGGCTCTAAGCTAAAAAAAAAAAAAAGTTGTCCTTACTTTTCTGGTATGTCTACTGTGTACCATTTGAAACCCCAGAGGCTTTTCTGTTTTCCCCCATGATGCCTTCTCTCCACTCCCTCCCCTTTTTGGTTTCCCAGGAGACAGACAATAGCACCCAGGAATGGTTAGGCGACGACCAGATATGAGCTTCTGTAACCAGGAGAGGCCTTTCCAGTAAAGTTCATATTCGCAGCCAGTGAAGCTGTTTGTATTTGATAAGTGTTTCTCTTGCCACAGTTACTCATCTAAAGGTGATTTTAGAGCTGGGGAGCAAGCAGCTCTGCATCTCAGTGTTCAAATTATGAATAAGAGAGTAGAATCATAGGTGTTGGTGTTAATGTACAGTCAAGTATCGTAACGCCATACCTACAGCCAAACCACGTGAAGGCGAGCCACCCCCCTGTATGGTGATGGGGCATGAAAAGGGGTCAGGGAGGGCCGAATAAGGGAATGAGGACACGGCAGGAAGAAAGGGCAGAAAAGAGAGAATGCCGCTGTAGCTGAGCTGGAGGCACGCCCTCGGAAGTGTGGTCTGTGATACAGGCCAAGGACAGGGAATGAAGGGGAACGGCATTCCCACGGCAGAAGCTATAGGATGACATGAGGTGACATGATGTTCATGTTCACCAGAGGCCTGACCTGGACGGCTAGGAACCTGGGGAAGAATCTCGCTCCGGTTGTAAAAAAGCTGCAGCTACAGCCTGGGATTGCAATTGGGTTTACCAGCCAGAGTTCTGACCGCTGGGCTCCAAGCCTGGAGAGTCTAGCAAAAGGATGGACTTGAGAAAGACCGCTTCGGACTTGAAAGAGTACAGAAGGAATCGAATGCCATTAAATTCAGCTGCATGAGCCGTGCACCTGAGCATGCTTATAGAGCAGAGAGTTTGGTTTGAATGGCTCAATTGTGATGTGCAGCAGGGAAAAGGTTAGGAAAAGAGTCCCAGGAAAGAAGCAGGGCAACAAGGGAATCGTGGACACCAGGGCCATAGAAAAGCAGCTGAGCTCAGTGAGGTAGTACTCTTCAGTAAAGAACGTCCCTCCCAGCCCCTTTGCCCTCGCTGGCTACAAAGAAACAGGGGCCCTATTGTTTTCGGTCAGCCACATGCTGCTGGCCTGAGTGAGAAATATGTCCACTGGTCAGCATCTAGCCTTCTCCAGCCAGGCTTCCAGGGGAGAATTAAGTCCTCCAGCCATAAGGTGTCCATTGTGTGTAATGAATCCGCTTCTCTCCCAGACTCCTGGTGTTGCCTAAGAAGGCGATAGTTACTCGGATCATTTTCTGTGTTCTGTGGTTCAGATGAAGAACCCTCCTTGAGAAGAACTGGCAGAGCCATGACCTGAGACTGGCCTTCCAATGTAATCAGCAAACAGGTGAGCAACCTCCTTAGGGTTCCACCTAAAGAAGATTACAGGTAGCAGCTAGGATAGTGGACGCTCAGAATTAGGCACATCCAAAACAAGATTTTATCCCACCTTTGAAGCGTCTGCTGGCTTTGCTCTACTATCAGAACTCTGTCTCCTCTCTCTAACTTACGGCTTAATTGTTCCAAAGGGGAGGCTGAGATTTGCTTATTTATCATAAATTTCTTTGTTTGCTCTTGATTTGTTTCCCTACTCAGTACTTCCCTCCACGATTTCCCTGGTTTGCGTCTCTCGTAACTGTGGTCCCTTAACTACGTGTGGTTAATACCATTAACTGTGCACCTTGTGGGCTCTTGGAATTCAGTAACTTGCTCCTGGGCATTGTGGCTCCAGGCTTAGGACCCTCATTCCTACAGGCATATTTTTATCCAAGTGAGTTCCTCCTTGGTCCTAACAGCCCTGATGCAGATGCAATCTTCTCCACTGCTCTTTTGTTGCCTGTCAATACGTGATTGCATGTGATCAGGAGGAAAGCGTTGCTAGAATCCTAGAATCATGGTGTTGGCAAGGACTTCAGAAATCACCCTATTCAACCGCCCACTCACAGGAATTCCCTTCAGCAGCTTTTGTTTAACTTATTAATAGCTTTTTTTTCTGGGTTTAAACTGTTCCCCAAAATAAATATTGGGTGGGTAATCCTGGGCGTGGTTTGAGAGTTGATACTACCAGGAGTATCAGGAAGAGCAAGCTTTTTTAAAAACCAGAATTTTGCTGGCCTCTTAAGCTTCTGCATCGTACTGGTCCTTCCCATGCAGGCTTTGGCTCTCCTGCTGATCACTGCCCTCCTCCATGGATGGGCAGAGCTGGATGCTTTCACAGGGGAGGCCCCATGGGCCCAGGCGACGGGCTCAGTGAAGCCTCAGTCTACAACAGAGGTGCGGCAAGGACTCCTCACCTTCCTAAATGCCATAGGCCATTCCAAAGATGTGTTTTGAATGTTGGACGCGGAGCGCCTGATTTGTGTGAATGTGGGCCCATCGGGTCTCTGCACCATCGGGACCCCTTTTGCTTTTTTGTCATTTAACACACCAGGCTGCACATAGATAAAACTATCTCTGCATTAATAAAGTTGTGGTCTTGGGGGCCGGGAGGTGCGGTTTGCTTTCCCCCTGCCTTTGGGAAGGAGAAAACATTGCACAGGTGGGCAGGCTTTGCTGAGGCTATATAACACTTGGAGAGCCCCATCACACCGGGTCGGGAGTCCCAGGCCGTGCTGCTTGAAGTGCTGGAAGCTTATGTCCTTCGCTCGCCTGTCAGCCCTCGGTGGCCTGTCTCCAGCAGAGGCCTCCTTCCCGAGGTCTGTGTGTGGCGATGGGGAGGTGTGACTGGCCCCATAAAATCTCTAAACCTGCTGTCCACGTCACAGCACTTCACAGTTCTTAGCACTGCATTTTCCAGTTACTCACGTTGAGAGACAAATGCCCTTGTGTCTGTACTTTCTAAGTGAAAGAATCAAAGAATAGCTTATTGTCTTACCTCTGGGCCGGAGCCCAGGAAATACAGCAGTTGTATTTTTTGCCCCGGTGTCCTCTGCCCCTTACTCATCCAGGCCTAACCCCTCGTGTCCTTTCGTGGGTCTCTTGAACATTCCTTGTGTTCTGCCTCTGCGCCCTTCCTTACACTGTCCTCCAGCCTGCAGGCCCCGGCCCTGCTCTGGACTCTGAAATCTGCCTATCCCTGACAGTCTTATGAAGTCCTGCCTCCTGGAATTCTCCCCTATTCTTCCCAGCCCGGAGTGGAGTCCGCCACGGTCTGTGAGGGTTTAAGCTCCAGGGGCACCTGGGTGGGTCAGTCCGTTGAGCATCCGTCCGACTCTAGATTTCAGCTCAGATCATGGTCTCAGGGTCATGAGATGGAGCACTGAGTCGAGTTCCATGCTGGGCATGGAGCCTGCTTAAGATTCTAAAAAAGTTTAAGCTGTGTGAGGGCAGAAACCATCTTTTTTGTTAATTACCAAATACTGAGCAACCAGCACATAGTAGATGCTCAGTAAATATTTGTCGACAGAAAGGCAGTGATGGCTGGCAATCTTAACTGGCATCTGTCCTAGCTTACTCCTGTCTGCATTCCTCATCTTATACACGTACACCAGATGCTAAGCTTCTTGAGAACAGAAACCATGGCTTTGTATCACCCTCTAGCAGAGTCTTGGACACACTAGGAGCTCAGTAAATACTGGTGATTGAGTTTATTACATAATCACTCAATAATGTTCCCTGAGCGTGGGGTGAGGGTGAGGAGGCAGGCAGCGTGTCTTGCCCCTGCTCTCACATATAAAAACACCTAGGGCAGCATTTTCAGCAAGCAGAAGGGTCCCCCTCCTCCCATCCAGCGCTTTTGACTATTTAGGGAGGATATTAAGGGCATGATGCTGTTAACATTATATTCCTCTTCTAAAAATTTGCAAAGGACTGTATAGAATTGTTCACAAATCCGTTATCCAGTGGTTGGCTAGTTAATTCCTGAGTAAGCCACTTTGAAAACTGATTATAACCCTGCTTCAAATGGAGAGTTGGGAGAAGGCCAAAAAGGGTATATTATTGTATCTCGTAGGAGGGAGAATCCGGCAGATAGTCACTGAGTTATGGCGCCAGAGCCTTCCTTTCTTCTGTTATTGTAAATTATTGTTAGAGTAGAAAGCCAAATCAGCAAAGTGAGACTCCAGCACTGCACTTCCTCTCAGCTGAGGTCTTATATAATGAAGACCTTCATAAACAAACATTGCATAAACTTAATGTGGGATCTCTCCTATTAAAGTTCATGCTGTTTAATGTAAAGCAGAATAATTGTTTCATATGCCTTATAAGTTCTAAGGTGCCCCTTGCTTCTGGGGTAGTTTAATAAGAGAAAACTAGTTTTATGCCCCTCAAAAGTCCCCAGTATACTGCTAAAACAGTAATTTTGCTTCGCTACTCTACTAGTCTTCCTGCCTCTGTCTCTCCCTTAGGGGGTCTCACTCCCAGGAGCCTGTAGGGCCGGGCAGGTAACATCAGTGAGCTGGTGAGGCTGTAGCAGGGGCGGCACTAGTCAGCCTGGGTGAATTATTGCCAAGCACAAATGTGTAGGCCAGATTTGCCATGGCTTTGGATTTTCAGGAGAAGCTGGGCATCCAGGCTTTTAGGAAATGTCATCTGATTTCTAAATGTTAGTAACTAATTCAAAAAAATGGTAAGTCCTTTGTGGGCCAAACAGGTTCTGGCTCTGTGTGGGATACTTTCTGGGGGAGGGTAATTTGCAAACTTTGTCCCATCCCTTCAGGCCTTGCTGCCTGTGGGCACTTGAAAATACACACACACACACACACACACACACACACACACACACACACACACCCCGCCCCATACCACTTACCACTTTGCCTCCAACCATTTTAAGGGGGCGTTTAATTCATTCCCATCCAGAGCCTCTGCCACGGCAGGGAAGGGACCAAATGGAGTGTCTACTACAGTGGTGGGTGGCGGGCAGATGCTCAACTAAGGCTTGATGAGAGAATGAGCCGCCACCTTCCTTTCTGTGCTCTGTCCTCTCTTTGAGGTACGCCCGCACCTGGGCATCACCTACGGCTGTGACCTCAAAACTCAGGGGCTCCGCACAACAGTAAACATGGATTCCCTCACAGTTTCTGTGGGCCAGGAACATGGCCGCAGCTTGGCTGGACGGTTCTGCTCAGGTTCTCCTGTGAGGTGGAGGACCGGCCACAGCAGCTCGAGCTCATGGCTCGCAGGCCGTGCTGGCAGCTGGCAGGAGGCCGCTGTTCCTTGCCATGTGGGCATCTGCATGGGACTGCTGGAGTGAGCGTCCTCACAACATGGCGCAGGCTTCTCCCTGAGCCCGTGATCCAAGAGAGGGCAGGGCGTGGGCGGCCACCACGTCCTTTATGACCTCATCTCCCAAGTCACGCATCAGCGTTTCTGCAAAATCCTGTTCGGTGTTGGAGGGGCCCACACGAGGACATTAAAAATACCAGGAGGTGAGCATCACTGGAAGCCTAGCTGTCATAGACCCTCAATAAATCCCTTTTAAACAAATGATCCAACACTGAGAGTAGTTTTTCAAAAAAACGTTAAGGGAATAACAGTTCTGTAATAGTCATCCCGTTTACTATTGTGTTCTTGAGATCAGCTTCAGAAATTAAATATCCTATCTTTATTAAGATTTTATTTGAGAGAGAGAGAGTGCACGCACGCACATGAGAGAGCGTGGGCCTGGAGGGAGGGGGCAGAGGGAGAAGCAGACTCCCCGCGGAGCAGGGAGCCCGATGTGGGGCTCGATCCCAGGACCCTGGGATCATGACCTGAGCCGAAGGCAGACACTTAACGACTGAGCCGCCCAGGCGCCCCTAAATAATCCTATTTTTATAGCCCATCTTAGAACTGTCTTCCCTAAATGTGTCCAATCTTTTTTTTTTTTTTTTTTTTTAGTAATTTTAAAAACCTACCTGTATCACTCTTAGAGTGATAGATTCAGGTGTACCAGCTGCTTTCCAAGGAAACCCTTTCAATTATTGCTTACCTCTGTCTGCTTCACGGGGTACTCCTTGTTCTGATATTCTCTCGGTTGCCTCAGATTGACACTTCTCTACTGGACCTAATGTTTTTTAAGGATTTGAAAGGAAAATCCCCAAGAAGTAGCGTCCTGAATAAAGAGTAGAACCCGTTTGATATATTAATAGCACTTGTGAAGACAAATAGCCCCCAGAGATTCCCCGGGGCCCTCTGAATTAGTAGGAGGGGGCGCCAGTTAATCAGAGGCTACAGACAGGGAGAGGGGTTACTCCAGTTCCTGTCGGGGGATCTATTTCTGGTACCTCCTTTCCAGCCTCCCACCCCAACTCAGACAGCAGGCCTGAGTGGGCGCTGCTGGGGCTTACACACACACACACACACACACACACACACACACACACACACACACACACACACGACACCCTCAGGCTGCACGTTACCTTTGCCTTCTTCAAGAACCATCCTTAATATTCATTTTAACCAGATTTCACCTGAATGAAAATATTAAGGGGAAGGAAAGGTGCCCTGATGTGATTTCCCCTAGGAAAATCCCCACTGGTAGCTAGTGCTTATTTGTTCAATAAACAAAACCTGAGGCTGGGAATTGAAGGTCAACACAAGCAGAGTCCAGGAGTGTGCACTGGGGCTGTGGAGCTGTGCAACATTCGCATGTGCACCTGGGGAGGGGTCTGGCACCACCGCCCCCCCCAAGCCCCACCCACTGCGCCTTGGCAGTGGTCCCCGAGTTGGGGCGTTGGTAAATGGAAATGAAATGTATAATTCATAAGGCTGAGGTGGTGTGCGATCTGTGGAAGGGGGGTGGTAATTACAGAATTGAGAAATGAGGCTGCAGTGTTGTAAGTAACCTTTCTAGGTTAGAGACCGCTGTGATAGATGGCTGGCATTGTTCTCTTTCTGACCTTTTGCTGAACTTCCCCTTAGAAGAACAGAGGAAATACAGTTCTGCCTTTTCCCATATTGTTTTTGAATAATACCTTCAGATGCCAGCGTTTAGCATTTCTGTTCTTCCGTTTGGGGTTTTACTTCCCCCGCTCCCCATGCTTTGCTGCTTCCCAAAGAAGAATCTAGCTGCTAATTACTTTGTCCCAGTATTAATGGTAAACACAGAGGCTACACAAATATTTGTCCATACTGAACACGGTACGTACAGGAAAAGAAAATCGCCCTGCAGCGTCCTTTCTCTCCCTCTGCCCGCCACCCCACCCCGGCCAAGCCAGGCACTGCGGAGAGTGGTCCTTGGTAATGGTGCAGGCGGCCTGGCAAGAAATGTGTGGGACATGGCTGTTTGGTAGGAAGATGACGGAGCCAGGGAGGGACTGCAAGCTCCCACTTGCAGAATAGTCATTTCAACCAGATGTTAACGTGCAGGCAGGAATGATGCTCATTCACATTGAAGCTATCGATGCGATCCTAGGAGGAAAGGAATACCAAGGCTGGGGAATGTGTCCCGTCTGTCCTTCCCTTCCTCTCTGCAGCCTGAAATGCTCAGCGTTTGTGCCCTCCTGCCTTCCCTCTACCGCTGTCGATTTCCTGCTCTGAACTGTGACTCCCTGGTGATGTCCCATAACTTTGGGCTCTAAGATCAGCTGAAGTCTATCAGCCCCTGTGAAGTCAGGGAACCCCAGAAGAGAGAAAGAAGGAAGGTCTCTGTTTCTCACACAAATAAGCATCGTTAAAGAGGCAGCAGAAGCATTTCACTTAGCCTTGCAGTTGAATCTTGAGTTGAATGGGGTATTTGGGGTTGTTTTGTTTCCTGAAAAACCAAGTCTTTTGAGGCCAAATGAAAAGGAACTAGAGAGTTCTGTGTCAGAGCCTTTCAAACTGGGGACAGAATTCGGTTAGCTCCGTTCAGTTGGTTAATGTTGATTGAACACCTGCTGTGTACAGAGGCACCACCCGCATAAAGAAGCAAATATAGGTTCTTTCTCCTCTAGGAACTTCTGATCTCGTGGGGGAATCCAGGGCAGGCCTCAATGCATACACACCTAGTCCTACTTACAGAGCGGACGCTCCCCAGAGGCGAGCGTGACAAGCAAGCACGCAGTGACTGTAAGGGATAGTTCAGAACTTTTATTCTTTGGCAAAAAAGAAACTGAGCTCTTCACACCAGTCATCATTGCCATTCTTTCAAACATCCACTTAATTGCTCGTGGGTTTTTTTAGTTGAATATTTTAAAAATGTCCCTCGCTGCCTCCTTTCTTCACGTTTTCTCTGGTGATTTCTTTCTTCATCTCCAGGTAGTTAGTTTCTCCTTTTTCGCCCACGACTCCTCCACTTATATATACTTTAAAGACACAAACTTCCTATGGCCAAGCTTCTCCCATTAAAAATAAATAGAGCTTTATCGGTTTCTGTTCAGATTTCCCCATGGAAATCCCCATTATCAGAGAAGAACTCACAAGAGCTGCCTGCTCCCTACCTCTTCTCTTACCCTAAAACGAACAAGCAAATAGTAAGCAACCCCTGTTTTTATTTCTCCCTCAGATACTATCAGTCCAGTTCAACAAACATCGTGTATTGAGCATTTACTTTGTTCTTGCCTAGTACTTGGCAGTAGGGGAAAAAGAACCATAGCCTCTTCTAGCTCCTGAGTGTAAAGCGTGACAGCCAACGTGTGTGAGGACCCAGGACTCTGCTGGGGGCTGTGAGGTGCACAGACATAAAGAATGCAATCTGCCACTTCAAGATGCTTCCAGTCTCATTGAGAAGCTGGTTTTAAACAATCATGAGTATCAGTGCAGGCATGAGTGGAAGAGCTGAACGGCCGGTGGGTGTGCTGGGGGAACACGGAACAGGAGAGTGCCTCGGGCAGGGAAGGCTTCTGGAAGAGGCAGGATTCCAGTTGAGAGCCCAGATGGCAGCCAGAAGAGGTGCTTTCCGAAGAGGCAAACTGGGAGCACCAGGGGTGTCTGGGGGCCCCACCCTGGCCACTCCAATGAGTCTGGAGGGTTCTGCCTCAGTCCCTCCCTCCCTTCGCCTCTCTTTTCACTTTGTGCCTTGAGCTCCACCGATGTGTGGTATCTCCCCGATTCCATCCGCTGGTTAGCTCATTTGGCTTAGACTAGCCTTTGGTGCTCAAGAGAGCAAAAGGAGCATCCTGCTCTCCTTTGCTGGAGGGTACTCCATTCCGCAGGCTTGCAGGAGAGGCCCGGCTCTGGGATTGCAAAGAGGCCCCACGGTTAGGGTGAGAAAAGCAGTCATTGGGAAGATAGGGCAGTGCTATCTTCATCTGGGGGGACACTACCTCCCCTTCCCCTGACAGAAACATCTGTTCTCCACCCCACAGTTGCCTGTGCGTTGCTGACCATGAGGCCCAGCGGCCCTCCCCAGAGGGATGCCCACCCCTCCGTCCCACGGGTTGAAGGTTCAGAGGCCTTTCAGAGCCCGTGTCCGCTGCACTTCAGCACCCCCTAGTGTGAGCTGGAAAGAGCCAGCTTGGTTTTTTTCCTCTGCGACCCAAACACAAGAAAGCCAACTTGGGCTTGGTTTGTTTTGTTTTGTTTCAGCTCCTTTAGGAAAAGCTGCGTGTTGGAAGGGTTTCCCTAAATAAGCTGCCCTTGGCCGGAGAGACCTAAACTTTATGCCCATTTTGTTTGGCAAAACTCCCGCTGGAACAACCAACCAGCTGCCTTGTCCCAACTGTGTCCCGTCCTAACAGGCTGCGGTTAAGGCCACCATGTGGGTGAAAGCTGCGCCCTCTGCCCTCGTCTGTGGGTTTGGTCTCCTGGCAAAGCCGGCACGGCGTGCACCCCCTTGGGAGCAAGGCCTGCCTGCTCCACCGGGTTCTCTGGCCCCGCTCGTGCCTGCCTGCTGGGAGACGGGACTCATGCTGTACTTCCTGGGTCGGAACCTGCTCCATTGGCCAGGACGGCTCCTGGCCTTACTTGCAAACTGGCTCGGGTGGTGTGTCAGCAGGCGTCAGCCCCTCTTCCTCAGTAATTCTTTCCCCAAAGTGCCACACAGGGGAGGAGGCCTCTTCTGAGGGTGTGGCAGCACCCCTGTTGCCACAGTGGAAGCTGACCCTCCGGTTTGTGTTTGGCATCTTTCCTCAGGGGACTCTCTTTCATATCTCAGGTCTCCGGCCTCTGCTGTCTTGATTGGTGTGTCTCCAGCCGGTGACACTGAATGCATCGTCCTGCCAAAGAAGGAGCAGGTTTCCATCTTCAGTCCCTGTTTCTTATCCTCGGCCATTAGCTGTAGAGAATGCTTCGTGATTTAGCCCCACACGCCGCGTGATCCGATGGTGCTGGAAGGAAAGGAAATAGGCTAAGGATGAGCCTTGTCTTTGTTAC